ATTTCCATGCCCTGTTTAACTTGTAATTTATTGAAATTAATTATGAACATTTCATTTAAAAACAGTACTTTTGAGGTTAAACAAATGTTCATAATTAATTTCAATAAATTACAAGTTAAACAGGGCATGGAAATTTCTTTTATTAGTATCGAAAAATATCGAACCGTGAGACTAAAGTATTGAACCGAACAGAATCGTGAATTTTCTGCATCATTGCACCCCTAGTAATTGTTATTTATTTTTTTGTTGGGGTGAGTGAGTAAAACGGTTTTATTTTACACAAGCACGTGGATCATTTTACATTCCAGCTTGGCTCCAGATTTGAAACAACAATGTTGTCAGAATGAGTGGGACTCGAGATGCACATAAACTGCTGGTGGCTTTGGCTCAGAGTAAGTCAGAGCGCCTGAGATTAGCATAAAAAAATTTTTTTAAAAAGGATTGCATTTGGGTGGAATTAATTTGCCAAAATGAAAGGTAAAAGATAAAAGAAATATACGGAAGCAAAAAATTAGAAAAAAAACCCATAAATGAGTGTGAGAGTTCAGTGAGGTTTCAGCAGGTGATGAATTAGCTGTCTAYGGTTTTTGGCAGATATCAGCTCTGGAACACAAATGGCTTCAAATAGAAGAATAAAGAACTGTTATCAGCTGTTAGGTGGTGAGCTTTTGTTATATTTACAGGAAGAAGAAGGTTTTATATTTTTACTGTAGCCTCACTGCTGCTTTTCTTTGAGGCACGGAATGAAAGCAGAGAAACAGTGAAGGTTCTTATCCTGAACAACTCGATTATTTAATGGTGCAAACTATACATTAAATTGAAGTAACCCAGCCCTACAGTGAACACATATCAGCTACTGTAGCACTGCTGCATCCATTCAGGCCTTTCCCCGTGAGATCATGATGCAACTCAGAAAGATGTCACATCATGCAGAAGAGCACCGAGGTGCTCGTTCAGACACGATGCAGACCTGTTTGGTGGCCCTTCGCGTTACTGGAAAACTGTGCAAGTCTGAAAAGAGGGCACAAGGGAGTTGAGGAAGCAGACAATTTAAAATAAAAAAATAGAGGAGAGAGAAAGGCAGCAGAGCAAAGCAGAAGCTGCACTCCAGGGAAGAAAAAAAATWAAAAAATCTGGGAGCCAGGCGCGTTATGTTTCTACTTTCCTCTGCAGCTGAGGTCGTTTTCTGCTCGCTGACAGCTCTTCTGCTCATGTTTACAAATGATTTACGCTCGCTTGGTTCATCCTGTAAGCAAGTGATTAAGCTCACACAAATGGAACCACAGAACATTATATTTTACCCACAGAGACAGGAGCCGACAGGAGTTCCTGCTTACTTCAATAATTTGTTTTGTTTTTCAGCCCTTWAAAGAAAGAAATGAAAACATTTCCAAAGAGCAAACCTCCAGAACCCACCTACTCCACGTTCATTTATTCCCTCATATCAAAGTACGCTGAAGGAACTCACTTTGGCGGTGGTGGAGCTGCTCTGCAGGGACTTGGTCTTTGACGCGGTGAGGCTGGATGGGTTTGGGAACCTGGGCGTTATCCTGGGGCAGAGGAATCCTCTTCAGGTGTTCCCTGTCACRCTTGACGTTATCGGGAACTGACAACAGAAACAAAATATTACAACTTCACAATCCAACACAAAATCTATGTTTTATTTATTTAGAACCAGAGTAGTGAGGAGCTGTAATCTGATTATTTAACGATCTAAAACACAAACGGGAAAATTATAACCAACAACTCATCCAACATGGGAACAGCTGCCACATCATTATGTTTGTTCATCCAATCACCACACTGACTCTAAAGCAGGACGGGAAGTGGACTCTACCTTGTATTTGTCTTTGATGTTCTCCTAGCTCGTCCGCCTTAATGCCTGCTTTGTTATGTTCTTCGAACACGACCGGTTTGTCCAGCTGTTTGACACCTGGGGGTGCGATCCTTGCTTCTCGACCCTCCAGTCGGTCCTGCTGAAGTCCCGGTTGGTCCAGGGACAGGCCTTGGCCTCCAGGACCATCAGCGGCCCCGAGTCCAGGCTCAGCACCTGCAGGTCCGACCACATCAGGCGCCTCGTCTTGCTTCTGAGTTATGGCAGGTTTCTTTAAGGCTTTAAATAAGCAAAAAAACAGAAGACATTCTCCGTTTTATGTGCTAAACAAAGCATTGTTTTTTATTTCTTTTTAAAGTGCCAGTGACGTGCTTATCCTTCAGATACAAAATACAAAAAGTCAGAGAAAACTTCAAAACTTGGCATTACGCACATTATTTTACCCATTTGGACACATAACTGACCTATTTTCTTTCAAACTTGGCTCGGCAAAAGGGAAACAGGAAGTGACATCAAAGGGGAACTCCTTTAAGAAAAATAACTCACTGGTCTTTGTTTATTGAAACACTTTGATTTGAACTCTGACTCTTTTTCTGTCTGATAGCAACTCAGAATAATCTAAAACATGATTCCTCTKCACAGTCTGGGCTGTTGAGCATTTTAGCTTAGCTCTGTTTTCATGCAGACATTCCCCTTTGATGTCACTTCCTGTTACTTCACACGCAAATATCTCAACAACTGTTCATCTCAGCAGCATGAAAATTATTTTGCATTATGTTCTCAGTGTTATCTTTCCAAAAAATGCATTTGTATTATTAAAAAATGTTTTATGTCGCAGGCACTTTAAAGACTAAACATAGCAACATACAGTAAGTATTTACCAAAGCGTATCACTGTACACAAACACACACACACATATATATATCTTTACTATTCTGTTACTTAACTTCCCACCATTTACCCTCCTTACAAGCTAAAACCAAATGACAGTAGTTGTGGATGCAGCTAGTAAACTCACCAGGTTTTCCTAACAAAAATTATTTTCAGATCCAAAACTCACCAAATTGCACTTCGTCCATTTTTCCAACCTCGCTGTCTTCTATGCCAGGCATGCCAGCATCACTGCCAGGTTTACCCATATCTTCTGTAACAGAACGAAAGAAATAAAGACGAAGACTGGTGTTTAAACTGTTTGACTCCAAGCAGGAATGTACTGTATGAACAGGAAGTAATACATTATTTGATTAATATGAACAATCAGAGTACACAGATTTGCTTTGAGCAACAAAGCTGCATTCAGACTAGAAGTTCTTGGGGAAACAACATGAACCGGTCAACAGACAACAAACTCACTGTACCTTTTAGATCTGACTGCCCGTCGTGCCGGTGAGTGACCACTGTGTGGCGCTCTTTAGCTTTATCCACACCAGGCGCTCCGTCTGCGAGCCCTCCAGCTGCTACACCGTTTTGACCATCGATTACGGACTAATCAAGAGAAAATAASAAAAAAAGTCACTAAAGATTTAAGAAATATGTTGCTGATAAATCCAATGAACACCAAAGAGTTGGTGCTCTTAGAAGCAAAACCTTTGAAATCTTCCTAAAAACTTACTGAAATGACTGGTTTCATTTTAATCAGAACCGGTCCATACTGACCTTTTTTAACCTCGARGCTTCTTCCTCTAAAGCTTTCTTTGCATCCTCAAAGTCCTGTTTCAGCTGCGCGATCTGACGTCCGCACTGTAAACTAGCCGACACACATTTTCAAAAAGGAGTTTAGAAATAATGCGACTCTTTTTTTTTCTTTTTTGTAACATAGTGACGTGGGCCGTGCCGCCTGACTAACAGTCAGACTTGAATGGCTCTTTGATCCACAAGATCTAGCTCCCTTCAAAGAGCCATAAGTCCCGTCTTTGCTGTCAGCCATACTGCTTCGGTTTTTAGTGACAGAGTGATCCTATCTCACACTTTCACTGAGCTACTCCTGTTCCAAAACCAACAGAAAAGTCAGCCACCGCATCATGTCAAATTAAGTGCCTTTAAATTTTATAACTACGATATTCTAATGATGCACAGCCGTTCCTCTCCGTGTTCGCAGTAAGGAGGAACAGCACGACTAACAATTCTATGAATTATGTTAAAACACTTCTCTAAATAAAGTTTGCAAACAGGAAAGTCTGCAAAACTTATTTCTATTCACTGGCTTTTAACCTAGCTTGAGACCTTAGTTTGTTTTAGCTGTTTTTTCCTTGTTTTTTAGTGTTTTTAATGTTGATTTATTTTTATTGTTTTTGACCCCCTATACAGCACTTTGTGTCAGCAGCTGCTGCTTTAAAGCACTTTACAAATAAAGTTGATTTGATTCAAATCGAGATTAGAAATGTACACACGTGAAATATTGCAATTCTATAAGAATCTATCTTGTGTTTTACAAGACTGTACTTTCTTGAAAAATAAAAAAATCTATATAAAAAACTGGTAAGGATTGATGAAATCGCTCTTTATGGCAGTTGTTGAAACAAAAGAGAAAATGAAATACCTCTCGTACTCCAGTTTTTTCTCAAAGGTAGTGCTATTCCTCTTCACTTCTTTCAGCTGCTCTTCTTGCTTCAAAAACTCTTGATTCAGCTCCTTTAATTGTTCTGTTTGCAGCAACACCACCATACAAACACAAGCAATATTTCAAGTTAGGTGCATTTTTCTTGATSAAATWAATTTTTTGTTARATTGAAAGCGCCCTCTGGTGGTCAGTCTTACCGTTCAGTCTCTGTATCTCTGTTGTTTGAGCTCTGACATCACCCTGTAACTTTGCCTAAAAAATGAAAATAAAAAATTATTATTATTTTTATTATTATTATTATTATTTAATTAAATCCAAAGACATAAGTGTCAACGTGTAAAACATTTTCTAATTCAAGGACAAACAGTTTTATTTGCAAAACTAGGAGAACACGTTGGTCTGGATTTTCTTGTCATTCATCCCTCTCAGTAATGATACTTTAAGGCATTATTAACTAACCCAAATCCTGATGTAAAACCATCAGGTTTACAATTCAACACAATCTTTCAGTTTTAAACTCTTGAAYGAGGGGAAGAATCCCAGACACTACAATCACTGATTGTTATGGCTCCATGAAGTTTTTTTTTCCTTCTTAAATTACAAAACAGATTAAATATACCGTCTCTAACCAGGCCCACCGCACACATCTCTGTTGAAACAAGGTTGGGCTGTTGACAAAAGGGAAGAAGTGGAACATTGTCACTTGATGCCAACCTCTGTCCTGATTAGAGAAACACAAACTTCAGAGAAACTTGAAGCGGTCTTACTTTTGTTTTTCTGCCTTTGACACTTTACCGCCCATCCAGTAAAACAACTAGAACACGTGACCACAGTAACTGATGGTGTTAATTAAGCTGCCAATAGGTATTTTTAACCATTGTGACTTTAATTTTATTGATTTTCAGCTGCCATTAAAACCAGCTCGGCTACAAATGTTGACGTTATTCTCTGCGTCTTTAATAAAGCTTATTTAGTTAATAATTCTATAAAGTTTAAACATTCATTATCAGAGTATTTAGTGATAACCAGAAGGCTGAATGTTTGGACCTGAAAACAGATGGTGTGTCTCACAATTACAAGTCTTTAACGTGATTCAAGTTCAGCAAGACAAGAAAGATAGTTTGACTTCATCCATCCACCAATTATCTTTTTCTGCTTTGTCTTTTGGTACTGGTAAATGGGTCGCAGGGGAGATGGTGCCGATCTCTTGCAGTCACAGCGTGAGAGGCGGGGGTTAGATATCGGGATGCACCGATARGAAAATTTCAACCGATATCGTAGGGTTGGGCTATAAATCGATTTAATGGATGAATTCGAATTTGCCATTTATAAAGATTTAATTTAGGGAAAAATCTGGATTTTATTCCCCACGAGTGCACTCTTTGGGGCTTCTGTAGTTCAGAGGTCACCCCACCTGTCCCTCAAGATGCTTGGTACACAACATGACAATATGGCAACTAGCAACTTCCCAAAAAAGGCACTGTTTCTTCAGTTATCTGGAACTGTTTAGGTTTTTCAACCTCAGACATGGAGCAACAAAAACCTCACTGCAAAGTCTGTTTGAAGTCTCTTACAACAAAAAGCAGAAGTACAACAAATTTGTTTCAACGCCTGAAACAGAGACACTCCGTTAAATGGGAAACAAATCGATTAAAATCGAATTTGTGATGAAAAAAATCAGATTTTTTTGGGCCATATCGCCCAGCCCTACGATATCGATATCCGATATTATTACTGGTGTTATGGCTGCTAACATATTGCACAAACACACAAATTATTTCTATAAATATACGCACAAATAGACTTGTGTCTTTTTTGATACCGTAAAAAAAAAAAAGACCATATTGCTCTACTTCAGTTATTCCTGGCTGCGCAGCATGTAACTATCACTATCAAACAGAAACCACTCAACCAACCATTTACCCTCCCAAAAGAGAAACACAAAGAAAAACTAAAAATGGGGAAGTCATTATCAGACATTAATATCAGCCCAGTTTTATTTATCAAACCAATACCATTGGTGGCATGACGGCTCAGTGGTTAGCACAGACGCCTCACAGCAAGAAGGTCCTGGGTTTGATCCCCGGTTCAGACCTGGGGTCTTTCTGTGCAAAGTTGGCATGTTCTCCTCATTCTTGCGTGGGTTTTTTCCAGGTGCTCCGGTTTCCCCCACCCCCAAAAACATGTACCTTTAGGTTGCCTTCAGGCCCAGGCCTCCCTTGAAAAAGAGATCTGAGAACTCAACAGGACTTGACTTGGATAGACCGCAACTTAGTCCATCACAGATGGTTCAGGGATGGTTTGACTTGTGTCAGCCAATCACACGTGGAATAAAGACAAGCTACGAGAGAAATCAGCCGGCCAGGCTGGATGCTGATTAAATACAAACCCGCCTTCAGCTTTTGTCTATAAGTTTAGAGGGTGTTGCTGGCAAATAAGATGAGCTAGAACAAACTGACAAATGGTCGTTCAGAGTTTATGGTGAGCAAATCAGAAGACTGTATTGTGCTCCACTGTTTAAGTTTGTCATGCACTTCAGTCTAGTTGCATAAATCAACTGTGTATAGAGAGACGTTTGAGTTCAACTTATAGAATTTCTATTCTAAAAGAAGCTCCAAACATTTAAGTGTGCTGAGGGTGGTGATTATGGAGAAAAGACTGGGTGGAGCCGACCTCAAAGGGAAAGCGGTTGGGAATTGGGTGACGCTCCGGGTCAAGAAAAAGTTTATTATCGGACACTTCGTATTTGATGTTTTATGCTACGTAATAAGAACATGGAGTCTTTTTGTTGCAAATCAAGCTGAAATGTGCCACTCGACAAGATTCCTCAGCTGTAGGCGACAGAGAGCGACGGGACAGGTTTAACAGAACTAATTCCACCCTTTGTTTAAAAAGATGATCCTTTTCAGCTTTAAGTCGGGGGTTGACACAGCTTTGCTGTCATCGGATCAGGTCAAAGAGATACACGAGTAGGCCTGTACCCTTTTCCTCCAGATTAGATAAAGCAGTGAAGAATGTCGTGATATAACACTTAACAGTCAATGTGACACAACAGAAAAAGTTTGATAATTTTGCTAACGTGAAGCAAAATAAAAACCTGCATTTAAAGTTTTGTATTTTCTGAAGACTGTGTTGTTGCTTAGTGCTACATGAGAACATTTTGACCCACTGGGTTTCCTCCTGGTTGTAATAGTTCTTTACTTTTTTCTGAGATTAACGTAATATTTACCCTCTGACCACGGCCCCCAGTGTTAGGAAACAAAGAGAAATAAAGCTGTTAGGGTGGCGATTATATAAACATCTAAGCACCCTTAATACTGTGCTGCTCAATGGAGTTTTTTGCAAAACAGGTGAAAAAAATTAGTCTGGAAGTTTTGGTTTAAGCATGTTCTGTACAGAATAAACACAGTTTAACATTTAAACAGGTCACAGAAAGTTAGATTTTTACATCCCGAAATGGTCATTTTGATATATTTTACGTTTTTTTACTCAACTGCAGTTTACAGATTTTACCACTGAATGTTCTATCAACGGTTGATGTCATTAACTTTTGCACTATCTGAAATTTTTTAATCTTTTGTAAACTATTCATTTCAATTAAACATATTTAAATAGATAAAAATAGCCATTCTCTTCTTCTTTCACCCAGTGTCTCTCTCGCTGCTTAGGGAATTATGGTTTTCTCTCTGGAGCAGCTTCAAAAGACTTCAGGATCTTTAAAATTTGTCATTTCTCATACATAAAAAACAATATAAGAAAATAAAAAGTATCTTAGGCATGATCATTGGAGTCTTCTACCACTTATGGATCAGGAATTTTTACGATAATAATTCAATTTTTCAAGCACTGCCCGATTCACTCTAATAATTAACTGGTTTTAGCCTTTATTTGTGACTTTTTTTGCTCATTTTATGCAGCATTTTTTCCTCTGTTTACAAAGTTAAGCTCAAATTTAWAAGAGTGTCTGCATTCAGACGTGTTCTAGTTGGATGATATTTTCCTGTGACATGTTTCTGGCACACATGACGGGCAGGTTGGGGTCAACTTCACCTTTTCATCTGAGCACTTCTTCACCAAGCCTTCTCGGGCCTTCAGCTTGTCCTCCAGCTGGCTGTAGTCTCCATCCCTCTGGTCGAGCTGCTTCTTGTGCGTGTCCACCTGCACCATCAGCTCCGAGTTCCGCTTCTCCAGGCGGCTCCGCGCCGCGTCCGAGCGCTGCATCTGCGTCTGGATCTCCGCCAGCTCGTCCAGCAGGCGGCCGTGCTTGTTGGACACCGTCCAGTAGTTGAACGAGAGGACGGCGATGAGCGCCATCAGGAAGATGAGGATGAAGGACGGGAGGCGGCCTCCCCTCCGGTTTGCGCCGAACCCGATCATGTCAGAAACACGAGAAAAAAAAGTCTTTTTAGCGTCACTTCAGGGTTTTTTTTTTTCTCTCTCTTTACCGCAACCTGCTGAGTTTCAACGTGACGATTCTCCCGATGTGAAGCACATCCGTGACATGACGTGGATAAACACAAACGCTACACGCACACACTCATAAATGTTCCAATACTCTTCACATTTCTACACGCATTTACTCTTCTTCCCCTTCCGCACACTCGGCATCTTCTCAGCAATTCGTCCAACTGTCGAAAAAAAAAAAAAAAAAAAAAAAAACGCCTCAGATAGCAACGTTAAACACAACAGATGAGACGTGGACAGCAACGCGGCGCCGTGGCGCTGCTAGTACCGCCTTCATTCATGGTTCCCGGTTAAAACACGGCACGTAAAGACGTTGGAAGCTCCTCTGATTACAAAACATCGACATATGCGCTTTGTCAAAAAAAACCAGCGCTGATTTCTGACCTGACGTTGTRGGTGTTGTTAGCTCCTCACCGATCACAAGCTAGCAGCTGTGCTGTCAGCGAAGAATGTCGTATTTTTTGTTTGTTTTTGCAGAGGACGGATTAAATATTTAATATTAGAGCCAATCTGGCCCCATTTAAACACTAAGAGTACACCCTTTGAACAACACTTAAAAATTATCTGCCTACGAAACAACTTGTGTGGGATTTGTTAAGCTAGCTGGAGAAACTGCTARTTCCGGTGTTGCGCCGAGAAAAGTATCCCCGAAAGAATTTATTCCCCAATCTCGGGAGCGCGCCCCACCAGGCAGGAAAAAACAAAAACAAATCTACTAAACATAGACTAACAAGAAAAATCTCAAATAGACATTTGTTTAAATKATGAAAACAAGCGTCTTGAAAATTCACGTGAAATGCGCTTTCCGTGTTGGAGGGTACTTTTTCGGACGGGGTGTTTTATTTCTGCGCAACACCGCTCTGATTTCTTTCAAAATAAAAGCTTTAAATTCGGTTTTAGTGGCAGTGATCTCAGATGGACTGCTATAATAATCACATTTTTTATATTAAAAAAATCTGTTTAAATGTGTAAGGTTGAACTTGCACCGTAAAATAATAAATTTAGAAAATACAAAAAATGTGAAGACCGGAAGTAGGTGGCTGGAATTCCAGAGCTAAAATAGCTGATAATAATACATTCTGGTAGCATAGCTGTGTCACATTTAAAAGTGTAAATGTATGGTTTGTTTCAAAGGCCTATAGAAACACACACACACACTTGTTATAATTAATTATAATTAACTGAAATTTCAAGCTTGAGAAGCTTTTGCCATCAATGTTCTGCAAACAGTGGCACTTTTCACAGCTCTCAACCCAAAAATATAATTTCTACCAGTGCTATAGTATACACCAAACAAATTCAAACGCATTTGTTACTAAATTAAAACCCTTTAATTTGATACTCGAGCTTAGTAAAATCAACATGTAATAGCAGCCATAATAGGGGAAGCAGGAAGACCCAGATTGTCGTCTAATTGATGATGGATGTGTCTGAAGCTCCCAGATCCTTGCCTTTCAGTGTGCACAAAAGAACTASTTAAAAACAAAATCCTGGCCTGAAGATAAAATGTCAGCTGGTAAAATTTAGACCAGCAATTAAAGTAACTACATGAAGCTTAAAAAATGTGAGCTTCGTCAAAAATAATCACAGGTACTGTATTCTCTGTGGTTGACTTGAGTCACGCTTAAGATGACAAGATGCTCAGACCTGATTACTGTCAGAAAACAAGAAAGAACTCATACCACAGCATACAAATGCATATTTTTTTTATTGTAACACTGAAAAGAATTGTAACACAATGAGGTAAGTCAATTTATCCACATTTGTGTTGTTACTGAACCACAAAATACTCACCACCTTATCAAGAACAATTCCACAAAGTCTGCAAACAATGGCAAAGAAAGCCCCGCTGGTTCAGTTCACAGTTTAATGCAAACATTTTTCTTTGTTTCTCATGAGGACAAGAGGAAAAAAAACATAATGGTGTTTTCTTTGTCTTTCCATCACTGACATCCAAACTTACCAGCTGTGCGTTGTTTCTTTTAATAAAAGAGATGAAACTCAGTAAAAAGAAAACCAACAAAAAGCAATCCCCTGAAGGAGAACACATTCTTCTGGTTGTTTCTGATGAGAGAGAAGCCACCGCAGATGCTGGCAGGCTCCGTCAGAGTTTGCTACCATTTCTGCTGATGCCTTGGCACGGTCTCACAGGGCACTATACGAGAAGCGCGACAGCATTTCAGTCTGCAGTCGCACTGAARGAGACACAGTCCCATCAGGTCTGAGGAGCGTCTTTACAGACATCAGCTGCACAGGACCACCAGAGAACCCCTGGAGGTTTGACCCCAGTCCTTGTTGGGAGAGTGGTCAGAGAATCGTCTCTTTGCACTCGAGGCTGCGTTCGGAGCAGGGGGAGGCCCGTGGGTCGGCGGAGGAGCTGTGTTTCTGGGGCAGGTGTTTTGAACGGCTCGTGGACGGGGACGAGCTCAAAGCGCCGCAGCTCTGCAGATGAAGGTCCCCGTGGTCGCGGTTCCTGGGCCCGCCGATGATGTGCTGAATCATCATCTGGTAAGAACAAGAAGAAAGTTGAGTCATCTTTACAAGTCGTGCTTCGGAGCTTCAACAACTCAGTTTCAGCGTCTGTAAATTTTCAGCAGTCTGTCAGCATTCACTTTGCTTTTTCACATAAAATGCTGCCTTTCTTTGTTTTCAGTAGCTCACTTTGATCTTTGCTCAGCTACAAACTAGTAATGTGCAGCTCACTACTAAAATATTACCACAAAAACCAAAACCTTATGCTCCAAAATAGATACTAAAATCAAAACATCAACACTTTGCTACTTCAGCCATTTCAGGTAATGTATATCATTAACAGAAACACAGTGGAAAGAAGCTAAACGGAAATCTTGTCTAAATCATATGTGGTTGGTCAGAAACTATTTTTTCCTGCCTGAGTAAGCGATGGCTGGTGCTCAGTCTGTAGATGTTACACATTCAGTATTTTCATGTTAATGTAACACAATTTTTATAGGAGTTCTTCATAAATAAACCTTTTTAGACTTGTGTACGCCCTCTGTCAAACGTAATGATGATTTTCCAAAACTATAATGTACAACAACTGTTTATTAAAWGGAAATTATTTATTTTAACCCCCTAGAATGTTTAATTCTCAGGCCTTTCATTTTTTTCAACTTAACYCAACTCAACTTAAACACGAAGATAAATTTGTTGCCTTGAAGGTGAATAATTAAATAAATAAACCAGGTAATGGCAGGTGCAGAAAACAGCAGCATCCTAAATACATCAAATACCCCAAATGAGCAAATTTCATGAGATTCCGTGTCTTATACAGGATTCCATTTTGTGTCAGTTTCATGGTTCTGTCTGCATTTTCCACATTGTGGAAATCATAGGGCCCTAAATATCTCAGTCCTATTTTTATTTTATTTTTTTTACACACCTGGGAAATTTTTCCACATACCCCCTGTAATATAATCGCGTACCCCAAGGGGTACATGTACCCCTGGTTGGGAATCACTGATTTAAAACACCATTTTCACATATTCTGTATGACTGTGCCCCCTGTTTTTTTTCTTTTGTATTAGATTGGCTTAATGTAAATGAGGATGCTTCATCAACATACTTGAGCTTAAAATAAATAAATAATTTAATCTGATGTCGTGTATCTTTTACGAAGCAGTGATTTGAAATATACTACTCTTTCAAAGATTTATACATTAGGTGTATTTGTGCAAAGTATCAGTATCAGACCAGTTGCACCAACACCAGCCTGCATTGCGCCGACTGTTTCCAAACTTACTTGATCGATGACGTTGGCACTGAAGATGGCCTCCTCCATGTGTTTCTCGTCGGATTTAATGACACACTTGATGTTGTTGACAACCTGCTGGACTTCAGGAGGTAGACTGCAACTGGAGTGCTCCAGGAATTTGGCCACTAATATTTTCGTGTCTTTGTACATCTTCAGGTCGGCCAGCGAGTGCGGGCGCTCGTGTGGGGAGTGTGTGTACGGCGGTCGGGGTTTGAGGTGGACATCAGGTTTCCTGCCGTCCTTCTGCTGCTTTGCGAAGGGCGCACGAGTGGGTTTGGGCCCGACTACTTCTGCTGAGATGTCTCTTGGCTCTAAAAGGGGAAACAAAATTAATTTGTGAAAACCGCTTTAGGGAAAGGGACTATCAAGAGCATCCTGAGCAGCTGCATCACTGTCTGGTATAAAAACCAGTGTGTCGGGTCGTAATAGCAGACAGTGAGAACAGCTGAAAAATATACTGCTGCAGTCCCATCCCTGTGCCCTGATAGGCTTATCACTCAAAGTAAAGCCTACAGCACCAGGGGCGGAGCTAGACTTTTTTGCAAGGGGTGGCTCATATCAGGGGTGGCTAAGATGTATTTTATAGGGAACATACAAATAAAGAAAAGCACTCTGGATTTGAAAATTAAAGATGGTCGCCACAGCTAATTCCAAATGGCTTTCATTCAGCTGTTTTAAGAAATATTGAGCTGAAATTCTGTGATCTTAGCAATGAAAGATAAAAAAAAAAAAACATGCTGAATGCTGGTCACAAATATTCAGCCATTTTTCACACACAAAGCTGAGTTTTATTGAAGAAGTACCCCAAAACAATCTTTACCAAACTAATTAAAAATTCAAGATTATTTCTTATTTACCGTTATTTAACCAGGCAAATCCCAGTGAGATTGCAGATGACTTGGGCCTGAAGGCAACCTATAGTACATGTTTATGGGGTGTGGGGAAAACAGGAGTACTTAGAGAAAACCCTCACACGTATGAAGAGAATATGCTAATTCTGCAAAGAAAGACCCCAGGTTCGAACTAGGAATCAAACCCAGGACCTTCTCMCTGTGAGCCATTAGTGCTAACCACTAATCCATCATGCTAACTTTAAAAGGCTATAATTCAGCCATTTTAAGACTCACCCAGATTAAATTTGTTGTGAAGGAGCTAAGAATGATCACATACTGATCCCCGATGCTAATTCTAAATTAGGCTGACCATGAATGCTAATGCTAAATTTAAAAAGGGCTATAATTCAGCCATTTTTAAACATAAACAGCTGAAATTGTGTAGTAAAATCAGAAAACAATTTTTATTAAAATTTAAATGCAAATACAAAATCTTAGATGCCCACCTACTTGTCAGTTATTTAGGGGTGGCACCTCGGGTGGTACTTGCCACCCCGGTCACTCCTCTAGCTTCACCCTTGTACAGCATCTCTCACACAAACCATAGAAACAGGTATCAAAGCATCCAGGCCCTCACTGCCAGATTGTGCTCCTMACTTCCCCCAGACCAGACAGAATCCACACGTTTCACTTCAAACCTTTGCACATTTCTATTTGCACGTATCATCACGTTTTCTTATCTTACATTCACCTGGACTTTGTAGAAAATAGTCCTGCTCAGCTTTCACACGTTTGTTGTCTGCACTGTCTCGTCATATCTACTGTTTGCGTTTATGCATTAGCATTAAACGGTAAATGGACGTTTTATTGCACCTTTCTCGCCAACCAGGCAACTGAAAGTGCTTCACAACACAATCTGTACCCTCATTAACRCATCRACACACATTCATACAGCACTCTGCTGCATCGCTGCAAAGCTAACCTGAATAAATCATTCTATAGAGTCTAATCAGGTCCTTAAACCACATTCATACACCGACGGGGCACACAGTCGGGGCAATGAGAGGTTCAGTGTCCAGGTCTTGTTTTATAGTGTCTTACTTTAAGCACCATGATCCTAAAGAAACTTTAGAGCAATTCATCACGTTATATYATCAGTGATAGAGTACTGCAGTTATTTTATTGCTCAGATTGACTATAAAAGCCTCCTGACTTGGCTAGTTGTCACTTACATTTTGCAAGATCAGCATCTGTTAACCCATTCTGGCCTGAGGTGCTCTCAAAGCATTGAAACTGTAATATCTGTTGCATCAGGGCTGAATTAATCATCTTTTCTGAGATAATAGATAGATAATCAGTAGATGAATGGACTGCTAAATTCTTTATGAATAAATACAAATGAACAGTGGTTCATTATTTACTTTTACAGATATTTGGGTTTTGCTTAAGTTACTTTTTTTTTTCTGTGCACGTTCTTACCGTGTTCTGGAGTTACACGAGTCAAACTTTCAGCAGCTGGATTATTTCCAGAGCTGCAAACACAATTTTGTCCTGTAGAGGGAGACAAAAATAAATGCTGTGTTTAAATGTTTCATGGCACAACTCTGTCATGCTGACACATTCTTTATTTTATGATAAATAAATCTTATTATGACCCCCGCACGTGAAGCGTAAGCGCGAGTCATATTGTTCTCGTACTGTTTACTTATTTATTTATTTATTGTTCAGTGATTTTTGGTCAACCGTAGCACAAAAACGGCTGCACCGATCAACATGAAATTATGCAGGACTGTAGATGAGTCTGACCTACACTGCGCCAGCCAACGGTTTTACGATAAACCCCATATTTGAGGAGGGGGCTCCTTTCAAAGAGGGGGTGTCAGGACATGCAAAAATGCTTATAACTCAGAAACTGTTC